TAAACCCCATCTTGTTATCCTCGATGGCAACGATGCAATACGTGCCTTGCTGCCCCTTCTGTCACTGGGAAAGGACACCGCAAGATCGAACCCAAAGCTAAGCACTTCTCCCATGGCAAGAACTACCAATCTAGTTGGCCAAACCAAACAGATAATTCGAAGAGACTTGCAAAGATAACCAATCATACATAAAAGAATTCAGAGAAGATTCAAATATTATTCATAGATAGACTTGATCATAAACCCACAATTTATCAGTCTCAACAAACACACCGCTAAAAGAAAATTGCATCGAATAGATCTCCACAAGAGAGGGGGAGAACTTTGTATTGAGATCCAAAAAGAGAGAAGAAGCCATCTAGCTACTAACTATGGACCCGAAGGTCTGAGGTAAACTACTCACACTTCATCGGAGAGGCTATGATGATGTAGAATCCCTCCGTGATAACGGCCCTCTCCGGCGAAGCTCCGGAACAGGCCCCAAGATGGGATCTCGTGGATACAGAAAGTTGCGGCGGTGGAATTAGGTTTTTGGCTCCTGTTCTGATCGTTTGAGGGTACGTAGGTATATATAGGAGGAAGGAGTACGTCGGTGGAGCACCGAGGGGCCCACGAGGCAGGGGGCGTGCCTTAGGGGGTGGGCGCGCCCCCCATCCTCGTGACCGCCTCTTTGACTCCTTGGAGTAGGGTCCAAGTCTCCTGGATCACGTTCGGTGAGAAAATCATGTTCCCGAAGGTTTTATTCCGTTTGGAGTCCGTTTGATATTCTGTTTCTCCGAAATACTGAAATAGGCAAAAACATCAATTTTGGGCTGGGCCTCCGGTTAATAGGTTAATCCCAAAAATAATATATAAGTGGAAAATAAAGCCATTATAGTCCAAAACAGTAGATAATATAGCATGGAGCAATAAAAAATTATAGATACGTTGGAGACGTATCACTAGCACACACTCGTACGCGTATCAAGAACACAAGAAAATAACATATTAATAAATAGTCCGATAAACAACCAAAAATCTATAATAAAACTCGATTAACCAAACAAGTAACCTAACTCCACTACGGGATTGCTACAGCCATATAAAACGTTTCTTCTACTGGGGAGATCAAACGATGAACAAAAACAATGGAAATGTGACCATGACCTACGGTTTATGCGACGGATAGCATCAACATGCCCAACGATAAAAATAGGAGGAACTATGATGTCTAGGAGATAAATTGAATGATGTTTTGAAGTCGCACAAAAGGAATTGGATAGTTGCTCACCGAGTTTGACAGAACGACGCGAAGAACTCGACGAACAGTGTTGGCGGACATGCAAAATTGTTCGCGTCTGGTCGACGGAACGCGTTCTTTCTTCTCTGAATGGATTCATGGTGTGGAGAGGAACCTTGTGGCGCAAGGGTGCTGATGGAGATGGTCTACACCACTGGGAACGAGCGCCGGCATCCATGGAGCAGCAGTAGTTCGGAGAGAGTTTTGGAGAGATCATGGAAGGGAGAAGGGAGGAGTTGATATGGGTCTGCAAGAGGAGCAAGGGGCACTCATATATATATACTCACGGATTTGAGAACGCTTGAGAGAATCAGGAGTGCTAGTGCGTGTACGTTTCAGCTTCGTGTGCGTGAGGAAGGAGAAGAGCTTGGGTTGGCGTTGGAAGATGGAAGGTGAAGAGAAATAAGGAAGGAAAGATGAATTAAAGGAGGATGCAGGAGTTTCCTATGTACATGTAGGCGGTTGTTTCTCTTCTGTATTGAAATTTAAGGAGGGAGCGAAGAGGAGGCGCTGGCTTGGCTGGGTATTGGCCCAGGTCCAAGTGGGAGAGAAAGAAGAAAGGAAAAGTTGGCTGTTGGCCCATTCGGGTGTGAGAAAAATATAGGTGGGCTTAACACAGGGAAGAGAGAGGAAATACATACTGTCCACGGGAATTTGGTACAAAGTTTGAGAGAGGGAAACAAATTGATTTTCCTCTCCTAAGAGGAAAATCTAGTAATGAAAAAGAAGCTCAAACAAAATATCATGAACTTAGAAATCAAAGAAAACACAAACTCGTATATTTAAATATGCTTAAGACCAAAATAAAACCCAACTAAAAGAAACAACAAAACTCAAATTTAATTTAAGTCGGTATTAGTTCAAATTAAATCCTCCGAATTATAAAAGTACAATTTAAGCTTCATTACCAAACGAAAATTTTCTTGCCCTGATTTTTTGGAAAACTTTTTCTTAAATATTCTGAGAATCGGGATGTTACATAGATTTGCAGATAGCACCTCGAAATTTTTTTTACGCAAAAAAAGCGCCTCAGGCGGTTGGAATAGATGGGCCGCAGAAATATTCTGAGAATTAAAATAATGTGTGCCGTGGTGAATTGATCCTACTGCCTCTACGATATCTTGATGTGAGCAAACCACCCAGCTAGACATCTATTTGTGCCAAATGCTAAGATGTATGCTTTATTATATGATGCAAATAATACAGAGCAAGTTCTACACATCGACTGGGACATGCAAACTGAGCAAACTAACCGTACTAGACTAGGAATTTTTTTTAAATTTCGAAATGGCAAACACTTCTCCCACCCTTGAAATGGTCAAAATATTGTAAAATTTTCAGACAAATCACCTTTGTTTGAATTCGAACATTTTCCCTTTTTAGAGTCTTGATAAAAGAAAATATATATTACAGAATGAATGCACATAAATTCTTTCGGACAAACCAACAAAATATGTGTTTGAATTCGAATATTTTTAAATTTAAAAATCAAGATAAAAGAAATAAAGTTCAGAATGAATGTACATATTTTTTTGGACAAATCAACAAAGTATTGTTTTAATTCAAATTATTTAAAATTTCAAAATCATTATAAAAGAAAATATAGTTCAGAATGGGTGCACTCAAATTCTTTCAGACAAATCAACGAAATATTTGTTTGAACTTGAATAATTTCAATTTTAAATACTAGATAACAGGAAATATAGTTCAGAATGAGTTTACGTATATTTTTGGACAAGTCAACAAATTTTTGTTTGAATTCCAGTAATTTTAAATTTTAAAATATACATAAGAATATATAGTTCATAATGAATGTACTGAACTTATTTCAAAAAAAAACAAATAATTTTTTTGAATTCAAATAACATTAAATTAAAAAATCTCGCTGAAAGAAAATAGATTTTAGAATGAGTGTACGTAAATTATTTCGGACAAATCAACAAATTCTGTATTGAATTCGAATATTTTAAAATTTTAAAATCTGGATAAAGAAAATATATCTCAGAATGAATATGCATAATTTTTCAGACAAATTAACGAGCAGTTTTGCTTGTTGAGTACATGTACGGTCATCAAATGTCCGCAGCTAGCTAGTAGCCTTTAATTCCAGTAAAGGTATTAATCAACACTAACTCGGATTGTTATGAAGTTAAAAGATTTAAGACTGTACATCTATTAAGAGTAAAAGTAATAGTTTTTGTAGCACATAACTTAAAGATACTTTTGGTTCAAAATTCTAGATAAAATGGATGTTCCGACCTCACAAATAAATTTATTTCTCACGTATTATGCGTCATGTGGGAGCACACAATAGATTTTTTATTTTCATTTACTCTTTTACTGTTGACCTGAGCGAGTATTATTAAAGATGTATACAATTTGTCAAAGTTATTACAACAATCGATTTCTAGGTGACTCAGTGCTGTATGCTTTGAGGTCAGAAGTTCAATCCAGCCGCCGCCATTTTTTTCCATTCTACCAAGCACAAGATGTGCGATCATGTGTTGTAATTAACAAAATCTGGAGGTGTTTTACAAAAAACATCACATGCAGCATTATAAGCCACTCACAGCGGACCTGGCATGCCACCCAGGCAGTGTATACGCCTGTGTACGGAAACTATGACCGTATTTGCACGTCCACGCAAGTTTAATGATTGTAATCATGTATTTTATAAGTTTATGCATCAAACTGACCGCCGCGCGCAAGTTATAAGACTGCTAGTGTATTTACCTCATTTGTAATCTGCCAATTGAGCATAATCTTTAAAATATTGGTTTATTCTCTAATGAGCAGACTTCTTTTATACTAGGTATACTACAAAGCCAAACGACAAGAATGATCGCTAATTTGCTGTGAATACCAGTTCCATCTAACTTGATATGCTTGTTACATTGCCGTTCTGACGGAATGGTGGTTGAATTCTGTAGCATGACTTCTCAGGAGAGATTAGTATTCATTTAGCTTTGGATGTCTGAATATAATTCATAACATATCCAATACATCATTGCACCTCTTGATCAACTCAACCGAAGGATGAAGTTGTGTCACTACCAAGAGGGTATCGTGTATCTGTATTGGAAATTCCGCAGTTGGAAACATAGTTCAAGCAGTTAAAATGTTACTGTAGTGAAAATCAACACAAATGAAGCGCAAATGATGATCCTGATTAATTTATTGGAGTAGCAGTTACCACGAACCACATCATGGGTTGGTCACTTTGAGATAGTCTCACATTACAAGTCAGAGAGCAAATTTGTACACTCAAAACTCAGGTCAAGGATAGCCACTCAAGCAAGAACTCGGTGATGAAATGCAGCATCTCCATTACAGACATTGCACCACAGAAGTAACATTGATGGTGTCCAGTACATATGGATCAGATGCAAAAACAGAGCAAATGATGTTCCTGAATCAAGATACACAATTGTTTAATGGCGTTTTTTCATCACATTACAAATTAGCCTGCAAACAAGTTCGATTCATCCGGGGCCCAAGCATCACAAGGGAAACAACAATCGTACCCAATAGCGAACAGAATCAGATTTACGACATGCTGACAGAGGCAAGTTTCATTTCCAACAAGATATGCAAATAACTTTGTTCCACGATTCAGTTCGAACTACACAGATAGAGTAAACAGCGAACTGAAAAAGTCAGAGTTCCATCAAGCTTTGCGGATCTGCAGGCGGCGACAGAGACAGGCGACAGTCGGCAGGACCTAGCCGCCGAATCCGTAGAGGGTGCGGCCCTGGCGCTTGAGCGCGTAGACGACGTCCATGGCGGTGACGGTCTTGCGGCGGGCGTGCTCGGTGTAGGTGACGGCGTCGCGGATGACGTTCTCGAGGAAGATCTTGAGCACGCCGCGGGTCTCCTCGTAGATGAGCCCCGAGATGCGCTTCACGCCGCCCCTCCGCGCCAGCCGCCGGATCGCCGGCTTGGTGATGCCCTGGATGTTGTCGCGCAGCACCTTCCGGTGGCGCTTGGCGCCGCCCTTGCCCAGCCCCTTGCCTCCCTTGCCGCGCCCGGACATGGCTCACGATCTCGAGCTGCGAGCGGATGTGGTGGAATCGGAGGAACGGTGGTGGCTGCTGGTGATGTGATTTGCGTGGAGGGGCGAGGGGCGTTTTAACGGGGACGAGAGGTTGGAGGAGGCATCTGCCTGCCGTTGGATGTGGATGGAGTGGACGGTCGAGATGGCGATCCGGGGGAGGGATGCCGCGGACTGGTGACGTGGCCGAAAGCTTGGACCGGTGGATTGGCGGGCTGGGTCAGAGCTGTGGCGGCAGCCCGAAATTTTTGGGCTGTGGGCGGGGCCGGGTCCAGAACTGCCGTGTCGTGTTCAGATTAAACCCGTAGGTATCAAAGGCAGAATGTATTGAAAATATTTTTATGGGTCTGTGGGATTTTCTCTATCGAAATGAGAATGGTTGTCTTCGGTTAGTCTGCAAGGAACTGACTTTTTTATGGGTGTATTCCAAACCCAGAAACAAGATAAGTCACTAATTCACTGTGAATATCAATTCAACTTGAATACCTGCTGCATTGCCGTAGCATGTCCTCCAATGACAGATTCTCATTCCTTCATACGAACTGTTTTGGAGATCTGAATATAATATACAAGAAACCTGCTCGAATGCAATGCATCACTGTTATTCTCTTTCTTTCCTTCGTACGTATCATATAAGCATACGTATCATAAGCAAACGTATCATAAGAAACAAAGTTTATAGATACCGACCTAAGATCTCACCCCAACCCCCCGCCCTGTGCGGGCGACTCGGGCGGCCCCCCAACCCTAGCTAGTGTCGCCGCCGTCCATCCTCTCTCTACCGCTGCCGGAGGACGTCGTGGGGCAAAGCCGCGCGGCTGACAGCAGCGGCAGGGATCCTCCTCGCGTCAACGGGCGGCACTCGGGCACGACGGGGGTCACTTGTTGGCCGGCGCGTCGATCTGCGAGCGGGGCCTAGTCCCGGCGGCTTATGGCTTCAGCGGCGGCGGCGTGGGGCTACGCGCGCGGGCGCGGAGCTGCTAGTGGGTGGATTTGGGCGGCGGCTTGGGGGCGCGGTGCCTCGGGCAGGGGACTGCTCGCTGGCTCGGCTGCGGCGTCCCGTGGCTGGCGGCGCTGGTGTGGAGGTTGGGGCACGCGCGGCTGGACGGGTGACGCGCCGTGCGCGGCCGGTGCTGGCCCTGCTGCCCCGTGTTGCTCCAGATTTGGCGGGCCGCGGCGTTTCTCATGCACCCCTCCCCTCGTTCGCGACTGTGCCGTGTTGGTCCTTATGGCAAGCTCTTGTTCTGGGCAGTCCTGCTTGTACGGGGGAAGGGGAGGTGGAGGGAGTCCCAGGATCCACGGCGACGGGCTCTGCTCCTTTTCGTGGTAAGTTGGGGGTGCTCTGCTCCCCTCTCATGGCCTGCGTCGGTGGCCGGAGGTGTGCCAGGTCTTGGATCTCAGGCGATTTGGTCGTGTTTGGCTCCTGGAGAAATCCTTGCAAAAAAATATTGTTGATGCCGGTGACGGCGGCTGTCGGTGTCAAAACCGGCGGATCTCGGGTAGGGGGTCCCGAACTGTGCGTCTAAGGCGGATGGTAACAGGAGACAGGGAACACAATGTTTTACCCATGTTCGGGCCCTCTTGATGGAGGTAAAATCCTACGTCCTGCTTGATTAATATTAATGATATGGGTAGTACAAGAGTAGATCTACCACGAGATCGGAGAGGCTAAACCCTAGAAGCTAGCCTATGGTATGATTGTATGTTGTCCTACGGACTAAAACCCTCCGGTTTATATAGACACCGGATAGGTTAGGGTTACACAAGGTCGGTTACAAAGGGGGAGATACACATATCCGTATTGCCTAGCTTTCCTTCCACGCCAAGTAGAGTCCCATCCGGACACGAGACGAAGTCTTCAATCTTGTATCTTCATAGTCTAACAGTCCGGCCCATGGAGATAGCCCGGCTGTACGGAGACCCCCTAATTCAGGACTCCCACAGTAGCCCCTGAACCAGGCTTTCAATGACGATGAGTCCGGCGCGCAGTATTGTCTTCAGCATTGCAAGGCGGGTTCCTCCTTCGAATATACCACAGAAGAATTTGAATATAAGGATAGTGTCCGACCCTGCAAAATAAATTCCACATACCACCGTAGAGAGAATAATATTTCCACAAATCCAATTTGAAAACTTGTTTTGGCAATGACATTATGTCACGGCCTCGTGATTATTCGAACTGTTTCCTTTAACTAGCCCCGCACATAACGCGAGGCAGTTTTTAGACACGTCTTGTCAAAGCAGAGATCGTGTCCCCTTAACATGGGATTCTCATCAATACGGGTGTGGGTAACCCAACCGCGCCATCGATTACAGCGCTTGGGGGATAAGCGAGTTTTACCAGGCTAGTGGGGACGCTTAGTTTCGTCTGCCCATATAAAGGGATAAGGATTTACCTTTTCTTCCACGCCTTCTTCCTCCTTTGCTCATCCACCTTCGCACACTCGAGCTCCAGCGCCCAAGTTCGCATTTCCCACCTCGACCTTCTCCAACCATGTCCGGAGCGGGAGGCAGGTGGATGGTCTCCTCTGTCACGGAGGGACACGTCAAGAAGCTGAGGAGAGCCGGATACTTGCCCGACGACATCGCGCACCGGCTCCCAGAGGAGGGGCAGCTCATCCTCACTCCCAGGCCCCATGAGAGGGTAGTGTTCCTCACCCATTTCCTCTGCGGACTAGGATTTCCTCTTCACCCATTTGTCCGGGGGCTCATGTTCTACTACGGCCTGGATTTCCACGATCTGGACCCGAACTTCATCCTCAACATCTCGGCGTTTATCGTCATGTGCGAGGCCTTCCTCCGCATCAAGCCCCACTTTGGCTTATGGTTGAAGACCTTCGATGTCAAGCCGAAGGTAGTGGGCGGCCGCCAGGCGGAGTGCGGAGGCGCCATGGTGGGCAAGATGCCCAATGTTACATGGCTCGAGGGCTCCTTCGTGGGGACCATAAAGGGGTGGCAATCGGGGTGGTTCTACATCACCGAGCCGCGTGACCCTGCATGGGCAGCGGCCCCCGAGTTCCGATCTGGCATCTCCACGCAGCTCACCTCCTGGAAAGAGAAGGGCCTGTCCTGGGGTAGTTCGGAAGAGCTGACCGGACTCCAAACATGTATTCAAAATATGGTGAACAAGAAGCTCAAACTCATCAACGTAGTCCATGTCATGCTCGTCCGCCGTATCCTCCCATGTCAACAATGGGCCTTCAACTTATGGGAGTTCGACCCGGCCCAGCACCAAACTCTGAACAGGCTCTTCGATACAACACACGAGAATGCCTAGAAGGTGCTATTCAAGGGCGCCGAGGTTCCTCCCCCTACTACCGAGGATCGCGGATTCTGCGCGAAGCGCCAAGCCAGCGCGGTAAGCTATTTTACCTCTTACAGGGTACTTGTTTTTCATAGTTCAACTCTATGCGGGATCTAAGCTCCCGTTCCTTTGACAGGACTGGCAGGAAATGGCCGGACAGATCGACTGTCCGGCTCCCTTACCCCGAAGGCCCAGCAAACGCTCTCCTGACGGAGATGCTGACTCCGGCTCCTTACAAGGTGCCAGAGAAGACCAAGAAGGCTAAGGGAACCCGAAAGAGTTCCCGACGCCAGGTGTTATCGGACTCATCGTCCGATGACTCTGCGGCACACTCCTCCCCCGAAGACGAGGAAGAAGAAGAAGATGCTCCCCCTCCAGTTGGGGGAGATAAGAAAAGGAAGGCCGCCCCAACTGGGGGGGCGAAGGGTTCAAGAAGGGAAGGACTCTCCTTCCGGACAGTTCCACCGCCGCCGACGAAGGCAAAGACGAGTGGTTGCCCAGGGCCAAGCCCCTGGGGAGATCGTAAGTATACGGATACCGGAGTAACTCATAGCATTCCTTTGTCGCACTGCTTTCCCTAACGCCGAACATGATTATGCAGGCCGCCACGAGCTAGTATCGATGTATCATCGGACGGCTCCCTGGGCTCATCGGATATGGATAGCAATCCACTTCCGACCGCCACCTCCCCTTGCCCTGCGGATGACGCTGAGGTATTGTCTCAAGAGACACCAGGACGAGGGGAGACAGTCCCGGAGGCACCTCAAGGCGACCGTCCGGACTTCGGGGGCAGAGGGAACGGGGCCCCTGAGGGCTCCGAGTTCGGCCCTCAGCCGAACACCGCGTCGGAACCTCCAGTGGTTCCGGACTCGGGCAGGCGGCCTCCTTCCAAGAGGGGCAAGACGCCTGTGCCAGTGACCTCTGTCCATCCAGAGGCGCCAAACAGTCTGCTAGAAGTGCTTCGCAGCGCTTCCATCGACGAGGAGCACCGTACTATTATGAGTGCGGTGGTCCAGAAGGTTCCGTCCGCCAAGAGCGGATTGACTGAAGCTTGTGCCAGCCTTCTTACATGCTTTGAGGTAAGTGTTAAAATATAGGAAAAATATTGCCGCATAGAAAGTAGCTCCTGATGCTTTGTTCGGTGTTCACAAAGAAAAGCCGAACAGAGGATCAAACAATATTGCAGGAGTCTAATTTAAGTATGTCAATATGTGTATGCAGGCTTCGCTGCTGGCCTCAGTCGCACTGACTGCGGAGGTCGCCTCACTGAAGCAGGACCTCGAGGGGTGCAAGAAAGAGCTCGACCTTGCCAAGAGGCAGCTCGAGGAGAACAAGGGTAAGTAATACCCTGTCTATAGATATGTATATATAAAAGAAGACACGATTGCAAAATGACAGGATCATCGTATGTTTGCCAGGGGCCACGACCGAGGTGACAACCCTGAAGCAAGCGCTAACCAAGGCCGAAGATAAACCGGCCAAGGAGCGCACCGAGCGGGAAAAGCAAGAGGCTCGTGTGGGCGAGGTGCAGCAAGAGCTCCAGGCTCTCGTGTCGAAGTATGAGGCGTTGGAGCATGACACGAAGACGCGAGAGTCCGAGCTTGCCGCCGCCCGTGAAAGTGCCAAGAGTGCCAAGGCCGAAGCACAGAAGGCCCTCCAGGAGATTGATGCGATGAGG